CTCTCTAAAGTTCCCGCCTAATACCCTTGTTGCTCAGCATAGGACACTGTTGTCTGTATCAGGACTACTCCATTAATCGTGAGGTATCTTGGTCCTCTCTTAGTATTTTGCGAGTTGTGCCCGTCCTTCCAGCGTACATAAGAATTCTTTGTCTCTGCAACTTTCCTTCAATCAGCCAGGTCTTGGTAAACTTCAACTGTACTTGTGTGCTGTTGCTCGTCCTCGTCTGGTAGGGACAGTCTTCTCTCAGACCTAGTGGCCAGGGTAATCAGATAGTTCTAAATTCCTAGAAAGAGTTTGCCCGGTTGTCGTGTCTGTCCCTTGCACCTTCTTTTATCCATCCCGAGAGCCACCCTGACCCCTGCCCGAAATTTCTCTACCCTCTCTGAGAATACCTTTAAACCCTTAATCCCTAAACCCTCGATTACTATCGTGCTCTATGACAGCCTTACTTTCGTCTTATTCCCCCTCATGGATGTCTGATCATGGAGTGTCTTGTCCATCCGCAGTTGATCTGTTGCTGGTGAATTCTTCCTGGGGTTGAGTTGTGCCACTCTTTCCAGCAAATGTGGTCTTCTTGTAACTCCGCAATCTTGCCGTTTATCAACCAGTTCTTGCTGAAGGTCCATCTCTCCTTCTTTCGTTGTTCCTCGTCCTCCGTCCATGACTGTTTGGTCTTCCTCCATCTGCGGAGGACTTCGGCTTGTATCATCATTTTCGTCTCCATCCAAACTTTCTCGCGTGGGTTGGACAGTCCTTCAATCGTTCTGCTGCATCTTTCTTTCCATATGACCCATAATGTAACCTTTCTGATGAGTCCAAACCAGATTTTTTCTGCCTTCTGGAGCTGTTGTGGGATGTTAGTCAAGAGGAGAAGTTGGATGGGGTGTTTGGGGAAGGGGGTTGGGAATAGGGAGTCCCAGAGTGCCGATGCTCTTGCCCAGTAGTCTGTCGCCTCTCTACAATGTATTAGGCAGTGAACTATGTCTTCTACCGTCCCTTCATTACAAACCATGCACAAGTCCGAGCTGTTGGGATCTGAACTCTTACGCCCCGTGTGTAGCCATAGGTTCATTGGTAATGCCGCGTAGGTGATT